GTGCAGGAGGCAGCTGATCGGTGTTTCTCTCTCATCGATGTTTCTAACTCCTCTATCTCTCTCCCTTCCTCTCTGTAAAAAATCAATAAAATATACTTTTTTTTTAAAAAAAAAAGAGTATTCTGCTGAATGCTAGTATTTCTCCAGGTGCATCTTGGAAAATAAGACTCTATGAACAAATGTTTGGGAAATGGTGGATTCAACAAAGTGCAGCAAATTATTTTACTTTTGTTTCAGTGTCAATCTGCCAGAGGAATCTTAATTTGAGCGCTGAGCTCATTATTTTGTGTAATATCTCATGGGACTAAAGATATTGCACAGGGTACATTTTGGAAAATACTTGTTCAATTTAAAAACAGTTTACATGGAAAAACTTGAAATAATACAAACCATAGCCCACCTGCCCTCGGATACTCTGAGCAGAAGATGGGGCTGCAAGGCCAGGTGCCTTCTTGGGAAGGGAAGAGACAGGGCTGCCACGATCTTCCATTTGCCCTACTATTAGAGTGCTATTCTTTTAGTCTTTAAAATAGTCCAAATTGAAGCAACAACAAAAAAGGGAAGAAGAATGAAAATATATTTTCTAGTATACTAGTAAAAATAAAATTGTAGTTTTTATGTAAGGTTTATTATATGATGAGCTTAGAAAACAGCTATTTGCAAATCAGAATAATGGCCCTTTTCCTATGAAGTCATTCTGGAGGATAAAGATTGCTTTTCTTCTATGTGAATTACTTGATTTTCTTAAAGAAAAAACAAAATGAAAATAAGGAAATCCCTGAGAAATTTGAATACAGATGTCTCCAAAAGGGTTATTGCTCCTAGGGGACCCCCCCCATGTGTCTCATAATCTTTGTATAATTTATAAATGATATCAAAGCAATCAGGCCACATTCATAAAAGTCCAGTGACACATAATTTAGTTGAATCTGAAGATTAGAATTAATTGTCTCTCTTTGTTCCAAGTTCTAAATCTTAGTAAATGATTCACTGCATGTCATTACAGCTGAATATTTGCATGAAATCACAGTTTAGCTGGCACAATTTAACAGCAATTAAAAAGCTATTTAATTGTCATGCAAATTGATATGAGGACCCTTGAGTAAGAAGGGTATCTGCCTTTTTTTTTTAAAGTATCTCCAAGCGGACAGTCATATACTTGCAGGCACCCATAACATAATTGATAACATTCTTCCTATTCAGGGAAATATAAGTGAGTAATAATTCATGATCTCCATTATAAATAAGACAAAAGAGCAACAATATGAATATGCCATCTGTAGGAAGACATTATTATGGTAATGGTAATGTATCTTTATCTCCTAGGCATAAGTCTAGGTTGGAGGTAAAAGCTACCCTTGTCCCTGTGCTCTAGTTTATAATCCCTTCCATATCTTCCTTTCTGAAGGCAGACATTTCTGTAGCTCTCTGGAACATAAAATGCATAAAGCAACTTATGCAGAAACCTTTTAGGAAAACTAACCATCCCATTTCTAGGTCTAGATGGCTGAGGCCCCTGCCCATCATATTGCTGACATCAGGAGCCAGCAAAATGAAAAAGGAAAATAGCCCTGTCCAGTTTGGTTCAATGATTAGAGCATTGGCCTGTGGACCAAGGGGGACTGCAGGTTCAATTCCTGGTCAAGGACATGCACCTGGGTTGCAGGATCCCCTCCCTGGTTGGAGCATGTGCCGGAGGCAACTGATTGATGTGTCTCTCTCATATCTGTTTCTGTCTCTCTGTCTCTCTCCTTCCCTCCCTTCCACTCTCTCTAAAAATCAATGGAAAAAAATATCCTCAGGTGAGGATTAACCAAAAAAAGAAAATATATAACACTTCTTATATCTCAAACCCAATACACAGTCATGTAGCTTATGACTAATGTTATGCTACTCTGACACCGTCCATATAACAGATCTCACTGAGGAGTTCCCTGTCCCCATTAAGG